TCAGGGGTGTCCAACCTTTTTGTTCCTCTGGGCCACATTGGAAGAAGTTATGGAGTTTTGGGCCACAAGTATATATAATATATTTGTGACTCAATCCTTAAATATACAAGTATATTTAAGGACTAACAAGCCTAGATTATAGTAATAAGTATTAAAACTTTATCACGAAAAAGGATATTTTAAAAAATTACTTCTACAGACACTTTCAATTTTTACTTAGAAATAAATAAATTCATTTATTATAAAGGAGAAAAAAATTTATTTGAAAAACACAAATACAGTAGAACCTCGATTATCCGGACCTCTATTATCCGGATTTTCGATTATCCGGATTGTTCAAAATAAACAAAAATTTTACGAATTTGCTAATTTGCACTTGATGAATTACGATACTGTTTATGTACGTGATAGAATGCATAACTTTTTTTGTTTCATCTCACCCGGCACAGTGATCGTAAACTCTTAAATATATTTTGCGTCATAATAAAAATATAATTTGACATACATATTTATGAATAATTTATATCCAAATTACATCATTTCTATAACCAAGGGCGGCGTATGGAAAACGTGGGCCACCGCCTAAAATACAGTTTCAACTGCTTTTTATTTTATAAAATCCGTCTTCTTGCGCCACCAGAGGGCCTTTTAAACAATAGGTAGTCTGTTAGCGTTGGTCAGTAGTAGTTCAAATTCAATACAAACGTTTGTTTCTTGAAAATTTTATCACGATTTAAATACAGTATTTATTTTTAATATTACCGATATGTCATCGAAAAGAAAACGTGTTGTATTATCATTAAAAGACAAATTAAAGTATTTGTTTCGGTTATCTGGATTTTTCCTTATCCGGACTACCTTCATCCCAAATTAGTCCGGATAATCGAGGTTCTACTGTATTTGTTTTATTTAGATCTCTAATTAATAAAAAACGACGAAACGCCATTTTAAAGTGCATTTTTATTCGACTAATATATTTATAAATACAGTAATATGTAGCACAGAAAGTAGACAATGAGCCAAATGATAATTTTTACGCCAAACTAAAAAAATGGTAGCCAAATTTGGCGCAAAGTAGCCAAATATTGCAACACTGGAAGGAATACTAAATAATGCTGGAGTTGGAACTCAAAGGATTATAGACCCAAATTTGAGAAAAGGAGAGAAAGGCCAAAAGATAAAAAGTAGTGAGGAAGGTTGGAAAATTAAAGGTCAATATTTGCATAACAGAAGGTCTATTTAAATTTTCTCACTACTTTTTATCTTTTGGCCTTATCTTTTCTCTCCTTTTCTCAAATTTGGGTCTATAATCCTTTGAGTCACAACTTCAGCTTTATTTAGTACTCCTTTGTCATCCACACATTTCCAAGTATTTGAAAATACAGTGAGTGATCGGTTAACGAACATAATCCGTTCCAAGACTTTGTTCACTATCCGAATTGTTCGTTAACCGATTATCGATTTACCATAGGTTTTAATGGGAATTTAATTAATTCATTCTGGAGACCCCCAAAAAAATATATATACTTTCTTACTACGTTTATTTATATGTAATAATAAAAATACATACATACACAGTCATGCATTTTTATTAGTCATGTTTTTTCCGTTTGAAAGGGTTAAATAATCTGTCCAGTGTCGATTGCTTTTCTCTCTTCTTCAGGATCTTTCATAAGTAATTAATAGGATTACAATTGTAGAAATCCCCAAGCCTCAACCTGGTTTGGATGTCATTCTAAGACCGTTGTTCTGACATCCTCCCACTTCTTTAAAGGATCTTTAATAACAGATATCGGCATTAATCCTCTTTTTCAGAAGAAAACATATCTCACTGAGTTTCTTGGTGTTCTTCACTCAAGAGTTCTTGGCGTTCTTCTGTTGTCAGATCCATTTCAGGTTCCATTATGAACTTTTTGATGTTCTTTATTTCTCAGATGTGATTTTTGTTACTCCTTTAGCTGCTTGAGTCTTCTTGATTATACAGTATTTTTCTTAAATAAAATTGAACGGCGGCCTACTGTAGACCTGTTCACGCCATACTGCCCAGCAAATTAGGCATCTTCTGCCCACTCTCTACCTTTGCTATTATACTCTCACCTTTCGAAAAGAAAAACAGACGCAAAATTTAATGAGTGCCTACCCGACAGTCTCACGAATATGTAAAAGAATTGTTTTGTCAGAAAAATAAAAGGCTGGAATTACAAGGGAGAGTTTCAAAGTTCAGAGGAATACTATTCGATCGGTATATACCGGCTTGAACATCAATGTCAATGTCTCCCACACTCTGAAAAGTTTCAAATTGTTGCCTGAAGACAAGGGAAGACCAATCGGTATTCATTATTTTACATCGCTTCTTCTTGTGTATGTTCTATGGGTTGTTCATTATCTGATCATGTGTTCGTTGCCTGAACATAAAAATCTTTCGCGAAAGTGTTCATTATCCGATTTGTTCGTTATCCAATCTGTTCATTAACTGATCACCCACTGTATTTCCTTTTCACTGAAAAATAAAATATGTATAAAAGTTTACGGCTTTGTGAAACTTCTTTTTTGAGTTTATGCCATTGAAATAAAAAAATAAAACAATTTGTCAGTTTTGTTTATTTGTTTATTGGGCCACATTGGAACTTGCCTTGGGCCGCATGCAGCCTGTGGGCTGGACACCCCTGGTTTATATAAAAGTGGACTATCAAATTATATTTTTATGAGATAAAAGTTTAAGTACACTATCTATTGGCATTAATAAAGTTTAGATGAGTAAAATACAAAAATAAATACAAAATATCTTGCAAGCAGATACACCCTCAGGAGCTTAAGTGAATATACTGCATGATTCTGAAAGATACAAGATTTGATAGGGACCTTGTATATATAGGATCCACAAAAAGACCAGTGGAGAAATGACTGCAAGAGCATGTTGCCGATATAAGGCAATCACAGCTATCCACATCCCTGTCAATATATGCTTCTGATCCTATTAAAGAGGTGCAATTACAACAAGGTAGGGTCCTGGTAATGATGCAATGAACTGACCACCTTAGATTCTTGGAGTCTCTAGAAATTTTTAAGGCAAGTTTAAACAGTATGTTTATTAATTACAAAGAGGAATTTTCTCTGTTGGCAGCTTGGAAAGCCCTTTATGAACCAATGTTATAATATTTAGTTATCATAGGGCCTATGGCACATGCCCATACTTGCACATGGCATTTTATTCCATTTTTTTTGTAATGTTTAGCAAACGATCAACACCTGTTTTCTAATCTGTTCCACTCTCAATGGGTATTTTGATATGATAAGATTTGATATTTTTGAACATTCAAATTTTGTTTTAAATTGGTGTTTCATCAAAGAAAGAGTTCACATGAAGCAAGACTCTGGAGGAGCCCAAAAATGTTAGCAAAGTAAATTTTTCCTGACACTGGACTTTACGTTTTGAGTGAGAATTATTTAACACCTAGTGTGACATGTTCTCTATACCAATTTACATGTCCATGCAGAAGTTCAATTCACATATAAATAGATGTCTTAGCACTAGATCTTTCATTCAACTTTTGCACATTTCTAATAGTATCTGAAAAATAAGAGAAAACTTACCTGAGCAAGAATATCATTCATAGCTTCACTAGCGTCAGCATCATTTTTGCCCAAAAGCCTAAGTAACCTGAGTATTTTTATCTGGATAGCAAATATCAAAAAAGAATAATCTATCAAAAAATATATATACATTTTAGATGTTATTAGTAAAATAGTATAACACTGTGCAAAAACTAATATTATAAATCAATTTAAATAAGAGGAATGTTATTATAGTATCAAAAATTATTCTAATGTTGTTCTTCCTTCCAAGAAAAAATAAGTTCTGTTTCATAAATTTAATAGAATTGTTAAAAACATTGTTATAGGAAACATTTTGTTTTTAGTGATAAATCTTCTGAAAAAAAAGCCATAAAATTAAACATAATATTTCCTATTTTTCCACTTATTGGAATCACAAAAGACATAGTTTACTCATTTGTAAAAAAAGAGCTGACGAATATACACTTTAATTAAAAAAATATGTAAAAAAGACTAAAAATGTCTTCACTTTTGCCATGTTCAACCACCAGGAACAACAGTCTTCCACAGCAGAGACAACCTTTCTTAAAGGCTATACCTCTGCAAAAACATGCAAAACCGTCTAAAAGTTCTCCAGTGACAATCCCAAACAATTAAAAAGACTGTTTTGCATGTTTTTGCAGAGGTATAGCCCCTAAAGAAAGGTTGTCTCTGCTGTGGAAGACTGTTGTTCCTGGTGATTGAACATGGAAAAAGTGAAGACATTTTTAGTCTCTTTTACGTATTTTTTTATTATAGTTTACTCACATTACTAAGTGATTTTAGACCTACAAGTTCATCTTCAGAAAGAAAACTCCATGTTCCATGCGAATTATCATCTATGTCTTCAGATCCAAAAGTGCTTAGTAATGTGAGTAAACTATGTTTTTTGTGAATCAAATGAGCAGATAAATAGAATTATTTATGGGCTGTATTAATGAATATATTGTCTTTAATGTTATAAAAATAATTTTTTTTACTCTGTTAATTTTTCCAAGACATTTCAATATTTTTTCCATGAATTAAATATATTCCTTCAGAAAAAATATAACAAAACAATAATAATGCATCTACTACTATAGATGACATATGTTCACATCTACAGTATTTGTTAATCTGTGATTTGCACAAGAATAAAATGTTAAATAAGCAAAATTTAAATAATAAAATTATGCTGAATTCAATCAAATTATAAAAACATTCATAACTGAAAGTAATGAAAATGATTAATAGGTAGCCATTTGTAGAGCAATATACACATTCAATATATTGTGCAGTATATTGTTTCAACAATACAGTTGATTCTGCTTAATAGCACAGCATTGGAACTGGAGCATTTCAGGGTTACAAAATAAACATCCCAATAAGTTATGCAGCTGAGATACAATATAATGAGTTATGTTAAAGACTATGTCAACGTGTGTTCTCACCAATAAAACAAACATCTGAACGTAATAAAACCATTTTAATGATAAGAAATTATTTCTATACAAAAAATGCATTGCAGTAAAATCTTGAAAATGGGAAGATTCTCTTGCTAATCTTTAATTTCATATGAATTGTCCTTATGCTATGTCATACAGAATGATTAAGTGTAGGATTTATTGTACGAATCTGTCCAGTGTGACCTGACATCTTTTGATCGACTGCACCAAAACAAAATCTGCACAGATATCCAGTGCAGACATAGGACTGCCTTCATTGCCTTCCAGCATGAAGTAGAACCTTAGTCCATCAATGAATTTTCTGGCATTGTGGATTGTTACTGGCTCATGCTCGGGATTGTCATCTTCATCACTTTCTTGATCTTCTGAGATCTTTTGATGTTTTTCCATGATTTCTGCCACAATCCCATCTTCCAGATCTTCATTTTCTTCATGACATTGAAGGTTGTCATCAACTTGTAAAAATTCATTGTATTGACAGACTTGTTGCACTTCTGCATTAACATCATTCTCGTTGCTGTTTACTGCCACTGCTTGTATTGCTGAGTCCAAGTGCTTGAAACCACAGTGACCAAAGCAGTTTTGAATCATCTTGCTGCTTATCTTCTGCCAACTGTCACTTAGGAACTGGATTGATTGTAAAATGTTGACCTTTGAACTTTGATAGTGGTTGAAGATGACATTAGTAGATCTTCTTCAATTGCTTGGAGAATAAAATTTACCAGTTGTCCACAGTACAGCATCTCCAAGTTCTTTATGATCCTTATGTCCATTGATTGGCTTTATTAAAGAAATGGTCTGGAGAGGCAAAAATTCAATCTGGATGTGCAACACAGTTGTCCAACAGCAAGACAACTTTTCTTGAGCTTCGTCCTTCCTAGCTCTTGATCCCATGTTTTAAGCCACTCCTTAAAAAGTTCAGAAGTCATTCATGCATTTTTGTTTGAATGATAAAACACTGGCAAGGCATCCATTCAAAGATCTTTAAAACATCAGGTCTTCGCACTTTTCCCAATGACTAACAACTTCCATTTGTTGCCACCTGACAAGTTTGACAGCACAACACAACACAGTTATGCGATCCATTGCTTTCTTGAAACCAGATAAAGCAATATGTTTGCAGCACAACAAGCCGTCTGGAGTATCATGATAATAAAGTCCAGTCTCATCTGCATTATAGATGTCATGTGGAGAAAAATTCTCTAGAAGTGTGGGCAATTTAGTGTTTTTCCATTTATCTGCACTTGCAGCATTGGCACTTTCCTTCTCACTATGAGCTTTCTTAAATTTGATTTCATGCCTCCATTTCCATTGAGACAACCATCCATCTGTTGCTTTGAAATTGCGGTGATTCAGCTACTTAGTGAGGACCTTTGCTTGACATTTGAGCATTGGACCACTGACACAAACATCTTTTGCAGTTACAGTGGCAAACCATTAATTGAGAGCATTGTCAACTTCTGGATCCTTGCCCTCACATTTCCATTTTCAGATTGTTCGTTGGGTTCCTTCGCAGGATGTCCATTCTTCTTGAAGTTTGTCTTCCTGCGAGATTGTGTCCAGAAACTTATCAAGTGTGAGATTGTGTCCAGAAACACAATCTCACACTTGATAAGTGTGAGATTGTGTTTCTGGACACACCCATCATCTCCTCCAGTTGCTGGTAGCTGGTGCTAGGGGGTTCTCTTCTAATTTAATCTAGCAGATCAATTTTCTTAGCAAGCATCAATTCCATCCATGGCATCTTGAATCGAACACTGGAGAACCAAAGGGCAAGTGTTCCATCTGCCCTCCAGACAGTTAATGGCCACAAAGACAAAAGTGGGGTGGAGTAAATTTTGGATTATGTCGTCCAACTTCTGGATTTGTGGTCTGTCAGAAAGAATACCTTACGACTCGTTTATCTCAGATTAAGTCCATTTATTTTACACTATTTACAGTATATACAGCAATACTTCTCGATTGCTACCAACAACATAGTCTGAAGCCTTGCTTTCTCCTCATCATTCGAATGTTCACGTTGACTTATATCCAATTTCTAGGTTTGTTGGCCAACCAATCCTGAGCTGGGTTGATAGCTTTCATTCGGTTCCACATTGGTTGGTATACCTCTCTCAACTTGTTCAGGGTGACTCATGCTAACCAACCCCCTCCAGAAAATGAGTTCCAATGAGTGGAAATCTGAATCACTTTGTCCCTCCTTTACAGGTGGGGATGTGAGGTAGGGAATGAAGAATTTCCAGGAATTTTTGTCTCATCATTTTGTATGCAGCAGTACACACCTTGTTGAAACATGTGGTCCATATGAGTGGTCGAGTCAATTTGACATAATTGAGTGAGAAAGGGAAGACAAGGCCTGCACTCTTAAAAGGTTTCTTGTGTTTCTTAATCATGATTGACAGCTGACAAAGGAAACTGGATGGAGGTCACATACAGAAAAGCCAAAAATATCCAAATTCATGTCTCTTTTGCTTAGTTTTCCAAGAAAAGTACTATGCCAGCAGGGCTACTAAGTGGCATTTTGGGGCCAGTAGGCAAAGTAAATTATGTTTGAATTATAGGATTTGATTCTGTTCTTGAATGTTTTGTCCTAATACGTGGAATGTCCTACTAACTGACCAGGCTTATAACTGGAATTGACTGTATCGACTTCCAGTACTTATTAAATAATTTAAAATNAATAAATATTTTTAATATTATTGGTAAAATGTAATAATTCAGAAATTTCTTTTTTTTATGTATAAAATAGTTTTATGCACACTTTTAAGCAAAAAAGTCATATGGCATTGGCATTGGCTGCTGTAAGAAAAGATTGGTGTCAAGTGTATAAAGCAGAGGTTCTCAACTGGGGTCCACAGAAAAAAAATACCAAATTTGGGGTTTATGGTGATATTTTAGTGGTCTATAGGGTAATTCTACTTCAAAACAATTGTTTTTACTGAAAATTAAATTTCTACAGTATATACAGTATATTGTCATTTATTTCCCATTTCTTGCATAAGGATTAAAATATAAATTATTTAAAATATTAAATATGTAAATGACATATATATAAGATGTGTTCCATAAGTAATGCAACTAATTTTTTCACGACACGACAATATGCTGTAGCTAGTTCTAACCTGCTGTGTTAGGTGGTGTGAGGTGTTAGCTTCAAAACTTGCCTGGTCTTGTTTGCCTCCAAGCTGCCAGTGTGTGAGAACGTTCGTTCCCATGAACCCCGTTTTGAGTTAATGTAACATGGAACAATGGATCATTTTGTGGAGCAATGTTACGCTATCAAATTTTGCATTAAACTTGGAAAGTCCATCACCGAAACTTTTACATTAATTCAGCAGGCATTTGGGAGTGATTGCTTCTCCAAATCACAAGTCTTTCAAGGATGGCCGAGAGGATGTCACTGACAAACCTTGCAGTGGACATCCATCAACCTCCCGAATTGTCTTCTTTGACGTCAGAGGCATTAACCATCACAAATTCGTACCTGTCAGGACCACTGTAAATGCAGCTTTCTATTTGGAAGTGTTCAAAAGACTGAAATCCTAGTCACGCGCTGCCAAAGTGACATCAAGGACACGCGGAAACTTCATCACGACAACGCGCCAAGCCACAGCACCTTCACTGTCAATGATTTCC